GTTGGCCATGGTCGTGAATGTGATGTATGACGAAACTCACCGAAGGTGATACAGTTTTATTTTCCATATTCCGATTCCCCGTACGTGTTACTTTCATACATAACCTAGAATACTCAATAGACACTTTGAAAACCCACGGTTCCAGCTGCTAAATAGACCCGGTTTAGGCTGGCCACGGGGGGGGGGGAGAGCAGGGGCCATGATAGAGATGAAACAGCTCCTTGCTGTAAGGCGGCCGTGGCCAAGGGAATCGCACATGTTGTCCAAGATCCAACCTGCGAGATTGAAGACAGCCGGCGTTAAAGCACTTCAAGCGCTTTGGTCGCTTCTTGGCGAAGCATTGCTCATTGGTGCAAGTGGCTGAAGAAGTCCAAGCAGGTGGCGGTGTAGTAAACGACACAGTGCTGACAGCCTAAAATCACAGAGCTGACACATCCACATGTGCCAATGCCTGCGCCCGACAGGAGCCGACATCGCTTCTGCCGAGATTCCACCGGGACCTTCACCGGTGCTGCAACTGGCACCGGCACGGCTGTCACATCCTCGGTGAGCCGAGAGAAGAGCTCTTGGCACAGCGAGACTTAATTAGCAAGATTACTTATTGCGATGCAGATGTTGCAGGCACGATCTAAAATGGCCAAGCGTCAAGCCTTGAACAGCAGTGGTGGCCGCAGTGGCCCGAGAGAAAATGCTGCATCCGCCACCGGTCCGCCGAAGACAAGCCGCTCAACACGTCCATGTCCATCGAGTGGCATGTCCAATACATTGAAGGGGAAACTGTGAAACCCACCTGCGAGCTGACCTGCGCTGCCCACTGCTGGATCCGGAGCCGCTCTTCTGCCGAGATGCCAACGTCCCACTTCACCGGAGGAGGGCAGCTCACCGGGATCACCGGCGAGCAGGGCACCGGCGGGCTCACCGGCACCGGCACGTGGGTCCGCACTTCCACATGACTTGGAACTTGCACCTGCACGGACTGCACGGACTGCACCGGAACGTGCCAGTGCGGATTCGCCGTCGCCCTCACCTGCACGTGCCCATGCACGCAGCTCCCGCCCGCGCCCATTTTCTGCGAAGTTTTTCTGCGAAGCAAACTTGAGCAGCTGCGGACTGCGGCGCGCGGTGGCTTGAAGACAGGCAGCTCTCAGGCAGCTCTCAGCACGTCTAAACTCCGATAGCCGGGCCCGGGGCGTAGTTGACGATCTCACTCCTCCCGCCTGCTACACCAGCGGCCTTGGATGCGCTTGGATGCGCGAGCGAAGAAAAAATGGAAGATGGCCGTGTCTTTAAGAGCAGAACATGAACATGATTTGCAAGGCTTACGCTCAGGCTCAGCATGTTTAGGGTGGCCGCGGCTGGCGGCCCTGGCGGCCCTTGGGCCTGCTCCGAGCCGAGCCGCGTTGATGCCGCGAGCCTGGAATTGGTAGTTCCGGTCCACCAGGAGGCCTCGGCTGAGCGGCGCTTTTTTTTAGAGCGCGAAGGCAAAGGGAGAGGCGAGACGTCTCGTCAGGGACCCCCGGCCATCCACTCGGACGGCCACCTCGCAGTCTCCCCGGTAGACCTGGGAGTCGCGAAAAAGGACCCCGTCTCTTCCGAATGACATCTGCCCGCCTCGAAGCGAGGCTCGTCACCGACACCGCTGTCTCGGAAGAGCTCGCACCTGACGGGGGAATTGCACCGGCAGGAACACGGTTGGATTTCACTTGCAGCCGGAGGGCTCAAGGGCTTCTGCTGGAGCCGGCAGGTAGAGAGTGATCTCGCCTCACGCATTTCTGGCACAGCTGCAGGCTTCTCCCGCTCTAACACCGGTTGCCTGCCAGCGAGCTAACACGTTCGGGAGCTATGCCCGTCCCGATGGCGGTCACCTGCTCCTGGTATTTCATGCTTGCTGCTTGATTCCGCGGCTCCCTCAAAATAATCCTGCAGCGAGAGCAGCAAGGCCGCTGGAAGCCAGCGCAGGAGAAAAGACGCCTGGCGCTCGGGCGAGCAGCGGAGGGAATCGGAATCCTGACAGAGACGAAGCCCGGCAGACCGGGGCCGTTCTGGTCAGAGGAGGCCAAAGGGCCCCACATCTTCCCATCGTCCTTCGGGGGGGGCACTCGGAAAGTAGGAAAGTAGGAGGCGTAAACTAGGAGCAGAAAGAAGCAGGATACAAAGAAAAAGCGCTCCGCCGTGCCGCGTCAATTGCCCGTGCAGCTCACCTGATCAAGGAAAGCCGGAAGGAACCTCTGCTTTGCGCCCCTAACACCCCCCCGGCCGCGCCTCGCCGATGGCTCTCCCTGTGCCTCGAAAACGTCCGCGCACCTCAGGGAGGCTCCGCAGGCACTGGGTCCCGGCATGTCCCATCTTCTCCTTTGGGGTCCGGGCGCGCTGTGCGCTACTCAGTAGGGCCTCTCGGCTGCTGCGCAGCACCTGAGATGCCAGGCGACGCGGTGACGCGACACAGCTTTGCAGGCTTCCTGTCTCTGCTGTTCAAGGAGCTCTTTCCACGTGAGGCCACGAGAGGCTCAAACCTCCCTCCTACGTCGCTACGAACGCTTGAGACAGAATGGCAGCGGCCTCTTTGCCTTGCGTTGCGGATCTCTGCGGCTCTGTTGTTGCTGGAGACAGAGAGGGAGAGGGAGCCCTTTTTCGCTCTCTACGTGGATGCTTTGCCCACCTGTTGTCCAGAGCCCGTCCTGCAGCCCGAAAGCAAGAGCAAGTCGGTGCGAAGTTTCCGATGCCTTCGTTCCTACAGCACTGAGGTCACGGCACAGGAAGCTGCCCCCGGAACGAGCCTCCCCTTCCTGCCCGTTGTCTTGCCCGTTCTCTTGCTGGTGCCCTTGCTCGTTTTCCTGCCCGTATCCTTGCTCGTGTCCTTCCTCGTTCCCTTGCTCGTGGCCTTCCTGAAGGTTCATGTCGGACTGCTCCTCCGGCTCCTCGCCAGCATCTTCAGCCTCCTGCCTCTCTTCCTCGCGTTCCTGATTCTGCTCCTGGCCGACAGCAAGAACGCAGTTTCCCACCGGCCCGCATGTCCCGGAAAGCGCGGGGGGGGGGGGGGGGCGCCTGCTCCTCGGCCTGCTTCATGGCCTCCTCCTGCGGCGATGCGCAAGGCCAGGGCTCCCCTTTTCTGGGCCCCGTACACGCCGTACCCTCTTGTCCTGCTTGTCTTCGTTCTCCTGCTTGTCGTCATAGTCGCCGTTCAGCTCCAGCACCTCCACGCTGTGCTGGTGCTGTGCTGTGGCACTCCGAGCTCTTCCGGAGAAGAGGCCCTGCCTGGTACTTGCAGATGCCCGGTCTGCCCTCCATCTGGTCGCAGCTCTCTTGAGGCTTGCACATCTGCCCAGGGGGACCGCAATTCGCAATTGGCTTGGAGGGCTCGGCGGGCTCGGAGGCGCCTCTTTCGTCGCACAGCTCTCCGCGAAGATGTCCTCACGCCGGGCCCACAAAACGATGGAAGCGGAACCCCAACGCTTCGCCGCTTCCCCCGCTTCGCTAGAGAGGAATCCTCCGGTTTCCGCCTCCATGCATCAAAGCACCATTCAACATGCTGGTCTCCGCTTTTGACAAGATGCGACGAGCCTGGTGGATGCCTCGGCACAGCAGGTCTCCCGAAAGGCACCTGAGGAGAGCTCCACTACCGCCCACTACCATCAGCGAGCACTCCGAGGTTCTCACGACAGGTGGTCTTCGTCTGTGCCTGTTGGGAAGCAGAGACACACACACCTGACACACACGCTGTGATACGCTGTGACCTGTCATCCCCTCTCTGAGGCTCCGAGCCCAGAACATCCATGCAGGCGCGGTGACCTTGAAGGTCAAGGAGTGGCCTGCAGAGCAGAGTTAGGATGCCTCCAAGAAGCGCAGGAGAGGCTCGAAGGCTCAGGCCGTTGGGGTAGCACGTCTTGCTGCCCGGGGCCTCCTCTTTGCAACGCGCTCTGTGCGAGGGTTCCGGCTCTGAGCTGGGCCTCGACGTTCGGCAGCTGCTGAAAGGAGAAAGGAAAGCGCCCGAAGGGGCCGAAACCTGGAAAGGCCAGAGAAAGCAAAGGGAAACACACCAGAGGGGCACTTAAGCCGAGGAGCGCGGGAGCACCGGCGGTGGCGGAGGCGGAGGGCAGGGCTTCTTGCAGCCTCGGCCGCGTCGCACACGGCACGCAAGCCGCCGCCGCCGCCCTCGCCGCCCTCGCCGCCCTCGCCCAGGCACGCCACGCGCTTCTTCTCGGCCCTCGCTCTGCCCGGGCCCCAGGCCATCGCCGGGCTCGCACTCCACGGGCTGCCCCGGAGGCCTCCGTTGAAAAGAGCAACGCCTAGGCCCTACGCTGCTTTGGACTGCGCTTCGCATGCCCGGAACCCGGACGGGACGTCCCAGTTCAAGTTCTTCACATACTCCTCCGAAGAGAGATTCAGGGGTGCATTGCAGGCCAACGAACACGCCAGGGCATGCTTCGAGAAGGCGTTGCTGCCTTGAACCCCTTCTCCCGCCAGTCTGCCTGGCAAGAAACCACTCGAACAGCGAAACAGCGACAGCGGCTGTGACAGGGTGGTTTGAAAGTGCTAGGCTCTAGGTGCAGAGTTCGGATCCTGCACCTCTGGAACATGCGTTAGAACCGACCACAAAAGACTGCGTGATGCTCCGAGGCCGTATTCTCGGTGCCCAGCCTGGTTGCCATCGATGGAAATGAGCTCGTAGCCTACAATACAAGCGCATCCTGTCTCGCACGGGCCAAGCCCATCTATTCTACTCTTGTGTCGGCCTTGCTTCACGCCCGCTGCCTCTGCAACACCCTTCACCTGGCTGCTGAGTATCCAAAAGACAGAAGGTCCACAGACTTGCGGTGTATTGCCTTCTTGACGATGGGATGGTCTTCGCCCCCAAAGTATCGCCACCCGCCGGTGCCGATCTTTCTGTCCAAGCATGGCGAAACGGTGAAGCCAAAGATAACACGATTTCAGGGCCCATGCATGTCTTGCAGCATCTTGAGCTCGCACTTCTTTTCGGGCTCCTCTTCCTTCCAGGAATTGTTGCTGCCAGGATTCTGCCAGCATTGATCCGGCAGCCTTCTCTTTGAGGCATTCTTGGTAGTCTGTGTCAGGGCCATATCGGACCTCCAGCGAAGGGGCCCCTCCGGGCGCAGACAGTGGCTCGCTTGGCTCCCAGCCGTCACCGTGCTGAAGCACTTCCTGAAACTCACGGGCACATCACGCAGATGCAGCCGGTCGCTCCCACTCCCCTTCTTTCATCCAGGTGTCGATCTGTCGATGTGCTCCCCGAGTGGACACTGGAAACCTGCCGGCTGCAATGGAGGCAAGAAACCCCTCTGTCCATCTTGCGATTGCCTGGCACGCAATGCCCCATTGCGGGACAATAGCCTGGGTCACGACAGATGCTGGCTGCCAGCCACAAACGAACACAGCGCCAACCACCAATGTGCTGCACAGGCACACTTCGTCGTGTCCACGCTCCCCTCGTCTTGCTTGAAAGACACATTGTGCCTGGCTTGCCGCATCACATGAGGGTGATCTTGGTGTTTTGCCCCTTGTGGAGGGCGCCGGCAACCAACACCTGTGCACGACTATTGCGGTGAATGCGCAATGGCCTTCGCGTTGCTGCCGACGTGTGCAGAAAAGCACCAAAGCCTCCGTGATTAGAAACTTTGGGTACTCGAGTAACCCTAAACTCTTCGTTCTGCGTTCATGCCTGCATCTGTGGGCGCATCAAAGGACTCGCGCTTCCAAACCTGGTGAGGCGAAGCCCGTCTGTCGCCACAGCGCCGCAGCGTAAATCACGCTTGGAGCAGCACGTGACTCAGGAAGTCTCCCGGGTGACATGCTTCAACATGAGACGAATCATGCAGGGCTGTCCTGAAATGCACGTGGCGCGCCCCTCTCGCTGGACAGTCTGACGCAACACGACACAGCGGACAAGGTCCCGACAGCAGATCTCTGAGCATCTTTGACTCGAGGCAGGCTTCGGCTGGGTACTCTGAGTGTACGACGTGCCCGACCTTTAAACGTAAAGTCCAACAGACTTAGACTTGACAGGGCTTTCAACATGTCATCTTGTACGCCCATTAACGTGCATCTGCATACACATGCACATACATCATACATGTGCCGAAACTACGATGTAACACATATGTTGCTCGTTCTTGGCAGTAGTTGTAGCATACTTATTGCAGTGCCTCCGGCTACGCTTCTTTGATTGATACTTCCGGTTTCACTTGAGCATCGTGGGCTGCATGCAGACTCAAATCACAATGCGGCCCAAACAAACATGTCTGATCGGGTTCTCAAATCTGAGCCAATTGAGCCAAGTTCTCCGTCTGACGCCATATTGGTTCCGCCGTTCCTGTTGACCCTTGCCATTGTTATCATCACAATAACACATAAAAAAAAATCCTTGTGACATGAATTCTTCATGTGTGAACCAAAACATCGACCGGGTTCTCTTCACGAAAAGTCTCCAGTAGACATATCGGGTTATGGAGCTGGCAGCAATGCGGCTAGGCTTAGACCGACGAAAATGTAGACCTGACCACCTTGAAATTGTGGTTTGTAAACGCTTTCTTTCGACACGCATCGTGCCATGAGGGATAACGCTCCGCAAAGCAGAGTGTCGTTGCCTTTTCCTCGCCGTTGCCTGGCCAGAGTTCCGTGACCAGAAGGCCTGGCAATTCGGGGGAAACACCACGCGCTCCCAGTCGTCCCAAACCCCTACGACCATCTTACGAAGTCACAAGTAAGATACGAATGACAAACAAAAGCTGATCAAGCACGTGCCGAGGCTGTTGAGCTCTTTTCTGTGGGACGGGGGTTGCTAAGTGCCCGACAAGAGTCGACAGTTTGGCAGGGCTGGCACAAGGGACAGGTGTCTTGCTCATGCGTAGTCGGGTAGAATGTGGCGGCTGCAGTGAAAGCTCAGGAAATGGTGGCTCCCCCTGAGCCACTGTAGAAACGCAGCTCTGAAACCATCACCCCCTCACCCCCCACCCTGTATCCGAACTTTGATATCGGCTTGGGCGCCTTAAGGGGTACCGGCAGGGTTTCTCTTCTCTGAATGGCACCTGGATGTTGGCTGGCGCTGCACGTTCACCTGCCCAGAAAAGGATGCCAAAAAAACGCCTCTCCATGCCTCTACGCAACTTGCAAGCATGAAGGTGAGGCGAGTCAGCCGGTGGGATCACCACGCCTCCTTAGCTGTGCACTCCGAAGCCTCGTAAAAGTCGATGAGGCGCAGCTTTTTGCCCTGCGAAGCCAGGGACGCGCGTCCGCCACCACGTCTTTGCACTGAGCCCGCGTGCCTGGCAGTGCCTGGCAGCCCGACCTTGAGCTCTCAAACGCTTCCGCTCTCCACCCGTGTATAGCACAAGACCGTGTTGCGAGTCACGTGTGTTTCCAGGTGGGGACCCTGACATGAGATCGCCAACGGGCAAGTTGGGCAAGTTCAGGACAATCCAAGACAACAATCAAGACTTCCAAGATTGCTCACGGTATGATCGTAGAACCCTAGATCAGCTCTGATCGCGGCCAGAGCTGTGCTCGCCCAACCTTCATCCCCCCTTCCAACAAAAAGCACAACGTTTCGCATTCCGGGGCATGGCCTTCATTTCCTTCAGGAATGGGGAACCACACGTGCGATTGAGCCGGAGATTGAAATGCTTGTCAACTGCTTCAGCTGCCATGGAAGAATCGGAGACACGCTCCAAACATTTCCCACTGTGGTATTACATCAAATCCACCACTGGCGTGAAGCACCGTATGGCGCGAGTCTCTGGGCAAAACCTTCTTGGGCATGTTGTTGTCCTATCAGAAACATATGCCAAACTCTCCAGGGACATGTCACCCTCACGCTTGTTGCACGACAAAAAACTTGCTGAGCCCCCGACTTAGCACGGCGTTGGTCCGTTGGCCAGTCTCCTCGAGCAATCTTCGCACATTCATGCCTTCCACATTTGGTCTCTGCTCGTTCTGACTTTGGGGTGGACCCCGGATGGGTTCGAAAAGGTAGACTTGGAGGACTGGCAACTTTTGCTGCATTGTTCCTCCTGAGATGCTCTGTGCGGTCCGGTCCGCATTAAGTTGCGCAACAGGCAAAAGAAGGGGGTTTCGGAAGTGAGCCAGCTTCGCGACGAGCTCTCTTGTAAAGCGAGGAATGGAGATCAACAACTTGAAGTGATCGAAGCTGGTGTGCTGCACACCGGCTGGTCTGAGGAACTGATGGATCCTCTCAAGCAAGTCTTCCCAGGCCGTTGCATCTAAAGTCTATGTGCATGTGTCGCTGGAACGGTAATAGATGAACACCAGCAAGATGTTCAAAACATTCCCCCCATCTGAGTTCTCGGCTGTCTACCGGCCGACCTCTTGCTGTGTACCTGCCTGGCAATGCAAACATCCGCCTTTAGCAAACTGCTCCGAGCCTCCGTGGGCCCCACGGAGACCGAGGCCGGGGCTGAGCGCCGGAGCTCGCCGCCAGAAACGGGAAGTCTGAGGTCCTGCCAGGGAGCGCGGAAGCACTCTTCGGCTAACATTTTCAGCCATGTGAACCTTGCAAACCCTGTTGGGGCGCAGACCCACGCAGTTCTTCGAGGCTGTCCCTGCAGTTCCGAAACTGACATCCAAACAAACACACAAGGCAGCAAAAGCCGCAAGCCGACCACCACACATCAGGAGAGTGGTGAAGGTCAGCTTGGAGGGCAGGTTGGTGCCTCAAGCCCCAAAAAACCTAACTTGCACGGCTGCCGTCGCCTGCTTCAAAAGCTTCGGACCATCGTAGATCCTCTCCCAGCTACCATCTCCGTTGGCCTTTTCGAAGCTCAGCACAGAAACTTCGGGACAAAGGCAGCACTGACACGCTCGCCTCGCCGGTGCACCTTCAAAGGCATGGCCGCGGGCCCGGACATCTTGCCGACCTGCCGACCTGGACGCACGAAGGAGGAGTCGAAGCAGCAACAAAAACCTGCACGAAAGTCATTTTTACCCCAACTCGCCAATCACGCGGAATCGTCGATGCCGGGCATAATGGGTTCGACGCCAGGACAACCGAACTGCCATGGAGGACCTCTTTAAGAGGCAACAGCCACGGTAGGGGTGGTCTCTGGAACATAGCATTTGGGAGCGAAGCTGGAAAAGCGGCTTCAATCTCGAAAGATGCCGAAAGTGCTTTGCTCGTAACTGTCCCAATCGTCCTGTAAGACTTGCTCGGAGATGCTCTCAGGTTCGCTTTTCAGAGAATCCAGACGCCGGATGTGCCCCCCGGCTTCCAGGCGATAGGCGATCCAGACTTTCTCACCGTTATCTTTCTCATTCGGTCGTTCTTGGACGAAGCCGACGGCTCCCTGATTGACGACAGCTGCTAGGGTGGGCCGCGAAATCTGCTTTCTCATGGAGAG